TTTGAGATACCACCTTCTTTTAATTGTATCTGTGGAAAAGTTGCTTGTGTGTTGGTTTGTTTTGTTTTACTTTTTTACTTTTTTATCCTATATTTTATTCTGTGAACCACCCTGTGATTGTATGATGAAGGGTGGCTAATAAATAATAATAATAATCATTCCAAATGAAGGAATCAGCTATTAAATCATAGAATCATAGAATCATAGAGTTGGAAGAGACCACAAGGGCCATCGAGTCCAACCCCCCTGCCAAGCAGGAAACACCATCAGAGCACTCCTGACATAGTGGTTGTCAAGCCTCTGCTTAAAGACTCCAAAGTAGGAGACTCCACCACACTCCTTGGCAGCAAATTCCACTGTCAAACAGCTTCTTACTGTCAGGAAGTTCTTCCTAATGTTTAGGTGGAATCTTCTTTCTTGTAGTTTGGATCCATTGCTCCGTTCCGCTTCTCTGGAGCAGCAAGAAAACAAGCCTTTCTCCCTCCTCTATGTGACATCCTTTTAATATATTTGAACATGGCTATCATATCACCCCTTAACCTCCTCTTCTCCAGGCTAAACATGCCCAGCTCCCTTAGCCGTTCCTCATAAGGCATCGTTTCCAGGCCTTTTGACCATTTTGGTTGCCCTCCTCTGGACACGTTCCAGTTTGTCAGTGTCCTTCTTGAATTGTGGTGCCCAGAACTGGACACAGTAACTCCAGGTGTGGTCTGACCAGAGCAGAATACAGTGGCACTATTACTTCCCTTGATCTAGATGCTATACTCCTATTGATGCAGCCCAGAATTACATTGGCTTTTTTAGCTGCCGCGTCACACTGTTGGCTCATGTCAAGTTTGTGGTCAACCAAGACTCCTAGATCCTTTTCACATGTACTGCTCTCAAGCCAGGTGTCACCCATCTTGTATTTGTGCCTCTCATTTTTTTTGCCCAAGTGCAATACTTTACATTTCTCCCTGTTAAAATTCATCTTGTTTGTTTTTGCCCAGTTCTCTAATCTGTCAAGGTCGTTTTGAAGTGTGATCCTGTCCTCTGGGGTGTTAGCCACCCCTCCCAGTTTGGTGTCATCTGCAAATTTGATCAGGATGCCCTTGAGTCCATCATCCAAGTCGTTGATAAAGATGTTGAATAAGACCGGGCCCCAAGACAGAACCCTGTGGCACCCCCACTAGTCACTCTTCTCCAGGATGAAGAGGAACCATTGATGAGCACCCTTTGGGTTCGGTCAGTCAGCCAGTTACAAATCCACTGAGTGGTAGCATAGTCAAGACCGCATTTACCAGCTTCTTTACAAGAATATCATGGGGCACCTTGTCAAATGCCCTTGCTGAAATCCAAGGTAGGCTACATCCACTGCGTTCCTTCATCTACCAGGCTTGTAATTCTGTCAAAAAACGAGATCAGGTTAGTCTGACATGACTTATTTTTCAGAAATCCATGCTGACTATTGGTGATCACAGCATTCCTTTCTAGGTGCTCACAGACTGTTTGCTTAATGATCTGCTCCAGAATCTTCCCTGGTATTGATGTCAGACTGACTGGGCGGTAATTATTTGGGTCCTCTCTTTCCCCCTTTTTGAAAATAGGGACAACATTTGCCCTCCTCCAGTCTGCCGGGACTTCGCCTGTTCTCCAGGAATTCTCAAAGATGACTGCCAGTGGTTCTGAAATCACATCTGCCAGTTCTTTTAATACTCTTGGATGCAGTTCATCTGGCCCTGGAGACTTGAATACATCTAGAACTAGCCAAGTATTCTTGTACTATCTCCTTAGTTATTCTGGGCTGTGTTTCCTCTGCTGAATCATTTGCTCCAAATTTTCAGGTCGGGCATTGTTTTCTTTATCGGAGAAGACTGAGGCAAAGAGGCATTGAGGAGTTCAGCCCTTTCTGTGTCCCCTGTTTGCATTTCACCATCTTCTCCTCTGAGTGACCGCACGTTTCTTTGTTCTTCCTTTTGCTACGAACATACCCATAAAAGCCTTTTTTGTTGCTTTTAACCTCTCTAGCAAGCCTGAGTTCATTTGTGCTTTAGCTTTTCTGACTTTGTGTCTACACGTGCTGGCTATTTGTTTGAATTCCTCTTTGGTGGTTTCCCCCCTTTTCCATTTTTTGTACACATCCTTTTTTAATCTTAACTCAGTTAAAAGTTCTTTAGATAGCCACCCTGGCTTCTTTAGGCACCTTCCATGTTTCCGTCTCATTGGTATTGCCTGAAGTTGTGCTTTTACTATCTCCCTCTTAACAAACTCCCAGCCATCTTGAACTCCCTTTCCTTTTAGTATTACTGTCCATGGGATCTCACCCAGCACTTCCCTAAGTTTATGAAGTCGGCTTTCTTAAAGTCAGAAAATTGAGTCCTAGTATGCTTGGCTGCTCCTTTCCGCTGTATAGTAAACTTCAGAAGAGCATGATCACTCGCGCCTAATGATCCTTCCACTTCTACCCCACTAACCAGGTCATCAACATTGGTTAGGACCAGATCTAAAATGGCTGTTCCTCTTGTTGCTTCTCCCACTTTCTGGACAATGAAGTTGTCTGCAAGGCAGTGAGGAATCTGTTTGACCTTATGCTCTTGGCTGAGTTTGACATCCAAACAAATATCTGGGTAATTGAAGTCCCCCATTACTACTATCTCCCTTCCTTTTGCATGCTTGGCCATACTGTTCCAGGAAGGCATCATCTATGTCCTCCATTTGGCTTGGGGATCTATAGTAAACTCCCACAATGAGGTCACTGTTATTCTTCCCCTTCTCGCCTTTAATTTTGACCCAAATGCTCTCACTTTGGCTTTGAGGTTCTAAATCTTGGATCTCTTCACAGGTATACACATCCCTGACATATAACGCCACTCCTCCTCCTTTCTTGTCTGGTCTGTTTCTCTTGAAATAGATTGTATCCCTCCATTATTACATTCCAATCGTGGGATTATCCCACCAGGTTTCAGTGATGCCTATTATGTCATATTTAGTTTGCTGTACCAGAGCTCAAGCTCATCTTGTTTATTTCCCATGCTTTGCGCATTAGTGTACAGACATTGAAGTCCATTAATCATTCCCCCGTGTCTCTTATTTAAGGATTTTTTTCCTCCCACCACTAGGTCTGCATGCTGTTTGCTCCATTTGTCTATGACATTTGGATGATCATCTTCATCAATTGAATAGACTCCTACCTTCAGGAGCACTGTCTCCCTCCCCACATTAGTCAGTTTAAAACCCTTCTGATGAGGTTTCTGAGATTTTGGCAAAAAACATTCCTCCCAACCGTGTGTGAGGTGCAGCCATCGCTTGCCAGAAGTCCATGCTTCAAGAAACTCAGTCCGTGATCTAAAGATCCAAACCCATTCCTGTTTACACCATTTTGCGAAGCCAGCTGTTCACGTCCACTATTTTTCCCTCTCTCCCTGGGCCACGGTCATTCAACTGGGAGGACAGATGAGATTGACAATTTTGTGCATTAATTACTTCAATTTCCTGCCCAGAGCCTCATAGTCTCTTTTGATCTTCTGGAGGCTATTGCTTGCAGTGTCATTGGTTCCCACATGAACCAAGAGGAAGGGGTATTTTTCAGTGGTTTTATGATTCCTTGCAGTCGTGCAGTTACATCTTGGATCTTAGCCCGGGGAGACAGCACACTTCCCGAGACATCTTGTCAGGCCCACAGATCACTGCTTCTGTTCCCCTCAGTAGGGAATCCCCTATCACCACTACACGCCTCCTCTTAGGTTTGGTCGGGGTTCTTCCGTGAGCTGTCCGTTCCAAGGTCGCCTGCACATTCCCTGAGGACTGACTTTGCTGCTCGTCTTCATATAGCTTCAATAGGAATTCATTTTTATTTCCAAAGCACAGGTCAAAATTAACTGAAATATAAATGCATTCAGGTATATAGAGCCCAAAGACTCTATATAATTTTGCCATATTATTTGAACCATAGTCTAAATATGTAATTCTATTAACAGATTATATTATTTTAAATAGTGAAATTCCAATTAAACTTTTTATTGCGCTAGCCATAGGCCATGTCATCATTCAGAAAGAGAACAAACAGAAAAACAACAAAAAACCACGTTCCAGCTTGTCAACATCCTTCTTAAATTGTGCCACCCAGAATTGGACACAGTATTCCAGGTGTGGTCTGACCAAGGGACTATTACTTCCCTTGATCTGGACACTATACTTCTGTTGATGCAGCCTGGAATAGTGTTAGCTTTTCCCCCTACTGAACACAATGATGACACATTTAAGATTGTGGCCAACCAAGACCCCCAGATCCTTTTCACATGTACTGTTAGTAAACCAGATGTCCCTCATCCTGTATTTGTGCATCTGGTTCTTTCTGCCTAGGTGGAGAACCTCACATTTGTCCCTATTGGAATTCATTTTGTTAGCCTGAGCCCACTTCTCCAATCTGTTAAGGTCATTTTGAATTCTGATTTTGTCTTTTGTGGCATTAGCTACCTCTCTCTGTTTGGTGCCATCAGCAAATTCAATGAGTATCCAGTCAGATGGACAGGGTATCAATAATATAATGGAGGAGTAGGAGGAAGAGAATGACATCCCTATTTTTATCAGAGAAATGTTGGAGGGGGTTCGCTACAAGCAGTCACATTGTGTTGCTTTTCCTTATAAACACACGGAAGAAACCTATTTGCCATAGTTACATTTTGGACGAGGACTGCATTAGCGGTGCAAAAAGTGGATTGGCCAGAGTATAGGAGACTGACCGAAATGGATATATAAAATGTGTATGAGACAAGAAAGAGTGTGCTGCTTTGAGATTTTGAGGAGCAGTATTGTTTTTAATTGCTTGACATTTTCAGTGGGAGGACAGTGCCCCAATCATGCGCTGGACTACATTGCTCTTTATACTAGTTACTGGAGATCCAGGAGGGAGAGGGCTATTGTGTACATGCCTTGTTTTTTGGGGGGCTCCACGTAGGCATATGATTAGACAATCTGGGAGCAGAATGTTGAAC